CGCCTAAACACGCGCCGCATACGAGCGGAAGCTGGGAAACAAAAACTTCATCCGGAATGAAAAAAAAAAACAAAAAAAAAACAAACATTTGCCGTTGTTTTTGGAGACAGCGGCCGGGCAACTCGGCAATATGCTAAGCAGAGGACGGAGACGACAATGGGGAGGGTCCCGCGCGCGCATGCAACGCTACTATCAAGGAGCGAGCTCAACCCCGAAACATCGAGCGCGCCAGAGTTTCGCAAACCGGAGTCGACGGACGTCGATCGCCCCCACCCCGGACATGCACGCCGCGGAAGAGCGATGGATTGGGCCATTAATTCACCCAATTTCCTCAACAATCAGCCCGACAGCGAAACATTTGTGCGCCACCCACAGTGCACTACCGAGATTCCTCGAACTGTCATTTGAGCGCCCATCGGTGCAATTCCCGCGACAGCAGTCGAACGGTTTAGTCTTTGTGGAGAACGGAATGCCGGATGACGTGTGTGTTATTTGAAGTCGCGAATCCCGTAAACGTGAAGCAACATTTAATTAAGAAAGCTCTCCGCGCTTTCTGCTGCTCGATCAGCTGAAAACACCTTCCAGTTTTACGCAGACAAGTAACAGGTGTACTACAGGTAGACTAAAAGTAACGCAACAGAATCCAAATAGGTCCTGTCTAATTTAGTACTTTATCATTAAAGTCACTGACAGAGCAGGGCGTGTTCAGTCCAGAGCTTCCTACTACAAAATATTAATTAAAAAAAAAAAAATTCCGCTTGCCGGACTCAACACCTCCTAGACAGCTTTAAAGACTGCGCGTTACGTCACATGACGTCACGTCCGGGGGTCCCGCACGGGCGCTGATAGGAGGCGAGTGCCGCGTCAGCGCCCGTGCCGGACCCCCGGACGTGACGTCATGTGACGTAACGCGCAGGCTTTAAAGCCGTGTTGCCTGACCCCGCTCGCTGTGCGTGGGGTGCAGCGTGAACACTTGGCGAAAGGTATGACTAGTCCTAGAGCGGCGGAAACATGTAGGCACCCTAACTAGTCCAAACCGGAGGGCCCCTAGCGGACGCCACCGGCGCCGCGCATGCGCCATGGAGTGCTGGCAAGAAGCTCGCCGTCGCCCATAAACAAAACCATTGAAATGCGATGTTGTCGGCGTCGGTGTGAGTCCCCCTGCCCTTTTTCGTGTTCGAATTGTTAATTCTACGTCTTCCTGGCAATGCCTGACTACTTGAGCGGCCTCAGCGAAATTACCGAGGCTCGTTATACCGCACAACTTCACGTGAATAATGAGACATGCGGCGATTCATTCCGCGTGGACGCCGCAGAATGTACGCTAAAGCCTGATTCGCATCGTGAGATTTCGCTCGCAATTTTCAGTCGCGGCGTCGCTCGAACTGCAAAAGCGTGAACCGTAGCTAAGATTGTCGACGTCGATACTGAAAACCGCAAGCAGAATCAGACCAAGTGAATCAGGCATAACAAGTCGGTGATGGCCACTGGTAACAATAATCAACATCTCCTTGTATCTACTGTTTACATCGAGCCTGTCTTTCGAGGCCTGCACTTACTTCTTATCGCAAGTACCGGGCCAACATTTAATCTACGGGCCGGGGTCGCCTAAAAGATCAGACGTCCAGCAGAAGCGTTTAAAAGAGCAGACGACAGTTCGAACGATCAGGCGGCCGTTCGAACTTGAAGTCGCACTGAACGTTGTCCACAGGTGGTCCGCACAACTTGACGGTTTTCCGGCGTTCATGTTGGAACAAAACAAATAAATCTGATGACCACAAGTATCCGTGAATTTAACCCAAAGTGCTTCCCGCTCAAGCAGGCGTGGTCCGACGGAGTATTGTTTTCCATTCTCACGGCACATATCAACGTTCTCGGACGAACCGAGCACATGAAAACTGATCTTAAAACCTTTCTCGACTTTTTCGGTACAGCCCCAGTCGCGGCGTTTTGACGAGAAGGCAGGTTTTTGTCAGGTTCCTTTAAAAACAACGCAGGAATACACGTCTCACATGGGGACTTCCGCCCACAGCCCCAGACCGGAAGTGCGCCCGACGCGCCGCCACCGCGCCGTGAAGTAACAGATGAATCGCACTGTCAGCCTGGGAACAGGGGCGGATCCAGGGAGGAGGGGGGGGGGGGACGACGGGGGCGGCCCCCTCCCCTCCCTAAACAAACTCGACCCCCCCCCCCCCCCCTCCCTCCTTGTCGGAGGGCAATTTGACATGGGTGGAACCCCGGTACACAAGAAAAAATGGGAGAATAGTATCTTTACAAATTTTCCGCCCCGCCCGCCCGGAGCTCTGGATCCGCCCTGGGAAACGCGTAGCGGCAACGCCGAGAAGCTCAAGAGAGGAGGTCCTTTCGACTCTGCCGTCTGCTATTGCTGCTTGGTTCTCGTAGGCAACATAGAAACAAACATCGTTTCCAGTAATTATTTTTATGCTTCTGCCATGCCATTCCTACGCACTGACTAGAGGAAGGTTTTTACCGTCGAAACATGGCTTTGCTCTCATGTGTAACACCGATTCTACGCTGCGTGCTGAACGACGAAAATGACCTTTCGTTCACCATTTTGCATGTCGCCTGCCCAGCGCGACCTTAACTGTTAACGGGGTCACGAGCGTGCACGCCCTTGCAAGCCCCAAGTGCCCTAATAAGCGGCGGCGTAGAAACCTTTTTTTTTTTTTTTTTTTTTTTTTGGGGGGGGGGGGGGGGGGGGTTAGGAAAACTTGGGTTAGGAAAACACCGGCGATTAAAAAGTCGACGTCCTCCGCCGAGGCACACAGCGGGATCTTCCGCTCGTCGTTTCACGCTGCGGTTGAGACAGAAAACATTCTATGCGGGCAATGGCCAGCAAAAAATAAAACAACTATAGTCGATCGAACTTTCGGTGCTTTTCTAAACGTAATAAGTTCAGTTCTGAATTTTTTTTTTAACATTTCTAGTTCCTTGGTTTGAACATTATCGCGGCACCTCAGTTTTTAGCATGTAGTAAGCCTGTGAAGTTATTCAATTTGCGTATACCTCAATCGATTACTGCACAACTCGCCAAGCACTTTCTTATACGATTAATCGATCAAAAGTGAACTCTTCTATAGGGGAGTCACGGGTGTCATCTTCGCCGGCGTCAAACTCAACACCAAGAATTTAATCCCTGTCGATATTTCTGCTCCCTCCGGGACGCCATGTTATCAAAATACACAACCGCGAATTTTTTTTTTCGATGCTAAATCAAAATAAGGAACAACCATGACCACCTAGCGTCAAGAGTACAAAACACAATGCAAATAACACATAGCTCACGCTTTTCAATTACTTAAAAAGTACGTCGCAACTACCACTGCTAACTTGACGTTAACAAAAACAAGACTCGTACACATTTCTTTCTGTCCTCTCATCTACAGTTTCAACTAGCGAAAGTGGTTTGGATGCTGGTAAACAAACAGACAAGAAAAATTACATCAATAGTAAACCCGAGACAAAGGAATAACGAAGTTGAGAAATCAAGACTTCGTTGTTCTGTCATTTTTTTTTTTTTTTTTTTCTTTGTCACGGGTTTACTATGAAAGGCATTCACCAGTTCGCCCGCGTATTTTCCCCATCTTCACTAAAATAGAAAAAAAAGAGGAAGAAAGTTAAATGGTATTATTACAAAGGGTTTGTGCATATTTAAGACTATTCGAAGTTTCGCAGTACTTTAACCCTCCTCTCAGCCTCCACACTAGACCGATAAAATATTCGCTCAAAGGTCCACGACTAATAGGTTAAAAGTTCTTACCTCGTCGGTGCACAGCAGTAGAGGTGAGATACTGTTTAGCGTCCTACGCGCTAACGATGCTTTTCCCACTCTAAAGTCCAGGCCGCGGCATGTAGACAAGCAGAAAACTAACATTCGCATGCAATTCCGCTGATCTGTAAAAGACGCCAACCGCGATAACCTAGCCAGCAAGCCACAGCAAACGCCGCCTAATTACTCAACAAGCCCCGGAAAAAAAAAAAAAAAAAAAAGATCTTAGCATCACGAACATATCAGCAAATATGAGCCTCAGTTCCAACCATCGCTACCCAAACTGTGCTCAAACACGTCGACACATATCAAAATGCAAATGTGAAAATAGAGGTAAAAAATCAAGTCTTGATTTCTTAGAAAGAATCCTATGGAAAAAAGCCTTCAACGAATTGAGACACTTTGAACGAATGATTATCAGCCGACGCCATTCATTGTACCGGCTTCGCTGCAAGCGTCGGGTGAGTAGAGGGTAAGTAGGCAATTCCAGAGAAATGCATTTTCCCGAGAAGCAGAAGTCATGACGGGTGCAGAAGGAAAACTGCCATAGATACAGTTTACCTCTCCAGCGGCGAAGCGTTCTCCATGTACCGATTTAGATTTAGAGACAGGAAAACTAATTGAATCAAGCCGGCGAAAGTAAAAACTGAACGCGGCAAAGACGTCGAGGCGTGTTACTAGGCCCTCAACGCAGGTCACATCATTAACATTCATCGCTTATCCCACAAGTCAAAAGAAAGACTCGGTGGCAGAAAAGCTCAACGATTCTTGCGGAGGTTGAGGGGACGGCTCTTCTGCTTCCCCTCTCACAGATAAGAAATAGAGCAAAGAACGTTTTCTGACAGTACCCTGACCTTGAAGTAGGCAAGCAATCCATCTAAAACATCGTCACGCATCCCGAGAGATACAGACGCTTCTAGGAAGACTCGTTTCTCCGTTCCGGCAAAAGCTCATTTCATTTTGTTCTTATTCTCCTACTCTTTCCCATCGCATCGCCATCCGCCTCCTCGTACTCTCCAGAGCCCCCGCAGAGAAACAAAATCGAAAACGAAGAAAGAAAACGACGGCTTCTAGAACGGGTTCGCTGGGTCACGTCTCTGAGAACAGGCCTCCGTTTTCGTCGATCCCCCGCCATCAAGTCACGCACCCTGGCTGGCACCCCCGCAACCATACTGCCCCGCCGTGCGCCGAAGTCGACTTGGAAGCTTACCAGGATTCCGTGGCGGTCGGTATTATAGTTACGAGTCCACGGCGTCTGACGACCAGCGGCGCAGATAACAGCAGCCGGAACCGTTGAAAGCACCAGAATCACGCACAGTAGTAGATCGTGCACAAGTTCATCACTCAACCCGCGCAGACGTCCCAAACACTAAACGGAACCTGATGCAACAAAAACCACGACAACTTGGGAGCTATTCCTTTCGAGGATCGAAGCCTGGTGAAGAAGAGCACGCCACCATCCGCGACGGGTGAGAAGAGAGCGCTCCCACTTTCTGCAAACGCGCGGGCAACAATAAACCCTTGCGTCACGTCGCCGCGCAGCGACACAGAGTTCGGTGCCAACAGGACGTCATGGTCTCGTGGCAGACGCGTCGTCCGCGGGACGTGCTCCAGGGTCGGCTACTGAACTCAGCTTCACTTGGACCGCAGCAGTCACTACGAGCGATCGGAGCCAATGCAAGGCCGAGTGAGCGTCCCGTGGTGGACTTCGGGAAAAGCGTAGCGACGCCAGCCGGGCGCCTTGTCACGCGATGCATTCAAAGCGTCGGATTGGATAGGATGACTCATAGCGCCTACTGCGGTCTATCCTAAGGTGAAACGGAGGAGAGTCAAACGCCGCCAAGGGCTGGCTTTTGTTTACGTTTTTGTTATCATCGTATATTTTATAGCACGAGCTCGCATCAATTTGTTTTCGGAAACACACACACAAAAAAAAAAAAAGAAAACTTCTTTGAATGCGTAAATATGGTTAAGGGGCAAAAACAACAAGATGACAAACAAGTTTACGTCCGTCCTTGGTCGCATGTAGATCTGTAAGCGTATAAGGCACGTGCGCGCGAGCATGACCGTGCGGAAATCAAAAGCGGCGACCCCGTTTTCCTAAAGAGCCTGCGAGGGCTTCACCTTCACCCAGAGCGATTTCGGGGAAAGTGTTCGCCCTTCTCGGCAGGGGCGGCACCCGACTCGGTGTCACGAAGAGAAGAGCACGACGCTCAATGACGCTACCTCGGACCGTGAAACCCGTAGAGATATACGCGCTGGCGGAGATACGCCTGTCTACTGGCAAGGACGTGTTGTTTACCGGAGTGCTCGTTGTTTTCGACTCGTACGTAAGGTTGCAAACCTCGGGAAGACTGGTGACGGCACACCCGCGATAGTCTGCGGCGGGACTGCATCGCTCACGACTTGTACATAAACAATCGCACCGAGACTCCTTCGGCGTTCATAAAATGCCCAAAGTTTCTGGCGTTTAACCTCCAGACAGGATTTTACGGAGAGAAGAGCGGCGTTAATGGGCAGTTATCCTGCGTGGTAGCAACTTCTCACAAAGTCGGTGCAAAACTTGCGTAGAAAAGCAAGCAGCGGAGCCCGAAAACACAACAAATGGAGTAGCGGGAAATAACACGCAGTCGTCTTCGTTTTAAATGTGCCCGAATCTTTCATGCCCGTTTTCAAACTCCATCTCATATGTAACACATATGGTGCGGCCAGCACATGCGTCTCAATTCATCCACAAATATTATCTAAAACAAATAAGAGAGAGTGCACATGCGTTTTACTTTCTTGAGGCATTACATCCATTACACCACCACTAACGAGTGCAACATCCACTGTATAAACCAGTGGTCTCAAACTCACTTGAGTGCACGGGCCAGATATCCTACGCCGGAAAGGTCGAGGGCCAACGTAAGACCTCGCGCTTTATGCTTTTTGTGAACTTAGTTTTGCCAGTGACATCTTTACATTTGATTTGTTTATATGGACACTTTGGGCCATGACCTGGCGTGACAGAAATAATCAAAATGACACCACCCCGCCAACGTGCTGGCGGGGTGGTGTTAATAGAACAGAGCAAGTATACACTGCGGTTCCCGTTGCTCAATTCACTCAGGAATTAACCAAGCACAACATGTCTTTTTAAAAAAACAAAAAACACAAACAGTTAATTCGACAGTTCTTGCTTTCCTGGCGATTTGTATTACAACACTCGAACAAGTACTTGTCTTTTAAAAGGGCAATGAAACAATATCGGGTTGGAATGTTCATGACTTTGCAAAGGCGTACTGCTCCTAATCTGGCCCAAGTATACTCGCACAGACCGCCACTGATTCAGAAGCTTCTTTGTCGCGGTGACATTGCGATGATAAAAGAGGACTATTTAATTCAGTCTTGCCTCCGCAAAGCTTGATGACGTAATTGTGGGATCGAAACCACCCGTCTGACGACAGTCTAGCGCGGCTCATGGATTGGACAGGAGAACTGCGTGAGCACTCGACTTCAGCTCGTAACAATCAATGCATCAACGGACACTCGGGTAGTGGCTCGTGTCCAACCACTGCGGTGATGAGAATAGACGAACTCTAACAATGTCCGCAGATCAGCACGCGTTTTCTACTTTGCTGACCCCAGCACGTGGATATGATTAACGTTGGCGGCATAGGATAGGCACCAGGCCACGTGGCCGCTTGTTCTGGCTTCGAGTCAGGTTTACTACGGTCGATAGAATGCCATTTGTCGAAGCACGTTTTAGAGAACGGGCACGTTTTATCGAAGCACAGTTTAGAGAAAGCAGAGCCTTAGTTTAGAGAAATGCCGTTTATCGAAAAGGGGACGCTATTTAAAAAAGGGTTTTCTACTTCGCGCGTGTATCACTGGTGCGCGTGTTAACCCAACCCCCCGCTGCGCTCCCGCCGCTTCGCGGCGGCAGTCTGCGGCGGCTCATTACAAAAATGTTAACTCACCTGACGTATCCGCACACGCCGCTTCGCGGCGGCCGAATTCGCTAAAAGGAGGTTCATCGCCATTTTCTCTAAACTGGGTTTCTCTATAAAGGAATTCGATAAACTGGGGTCGGTAAAACGGCGTTCGCTAAAACGAGCTTCTCTAAACCGCATGACTCCGCTCCGAGTCACCGTGCTCCGAGTCGAGGGAACAAACGATGCTCATATTTCTCGACTTTTTTTCTTTCTTTTTTGCGACTGCCATTGCCTAGGAAGAGGAGCTAAGGAAAGTTTATTCAGTTATTGACGCTAGGGAGTGATTTTGAGTAAGTGTTAGCGAAAGTAGAAAAATCGTTTCATGGCTGCTTTCATAATATATTAAAATGAGGAATTTTTGGGTTTGTACCTTTACCTTTGGCACTTGCTCCTGCTGATCGAGAGATCGCGCATGCACTACAAAAAGCTGTAAAGCAAGAAATAAAGCAAAACAAGGGGCAATTGAACACCGATAAGTATAAACTATGTCAATACGTTAAAAGAGCAGAGCTACTTTTCGAGCGAAAATGAGTCTAAGAGACGAGGTCGCTATGGCGCAGGTCATGTCTAGCGCACGAGACGTGGGCGCCGCGGGACTCGTCGCCGGTTGCCTGCGGGCCGCGTGTTTGAGACCCCTGGTATAAACGAAGTCTACACATGGTTTACCCCTAAGCTGAGACTGCGGTGAAAGCAACGTCCTCGTTGGAACAGTTATACGCCTGTTTCGCCACATCACACTCCGGGCCAAACTTACGCCCGGAGAACCGCGCGGGTCAGGTGATAAGGAGGCGGCTGATTGGTCCGGCGGGCACGTAGCTCCCCCGCAGTCTCAATCTAGAGGTGAAAGTCAGTGTGCATGTGCACACCGTATGCTGTGCAAAGGTGCCAGATAACTCCACAAAATGCTGTATCAAAACATTAGGAAAAAAAGGAATGTAGATATTGTACGAGAAAGCGAGATACAAAATTACATTTTCACGAATGGAACACGAGCATTAACTTTAATTATCTAAGGATGTGTCAAATGTTTTCGCGAATGTATCTTCAGTGAGATCGCAATAGACCCTTTCCGAAATTCACTCTGGCCACTTTGGTCACCATCATCGTCGGAAAAATGGCATATGTGCCGTACTAATGGCGGCCTTTTGTTTACTGATGAACGAAGAAGTTGAAGATGCTCCTTAGCAGATAATTCGAGGCTTATAGATTCGTGACGTTAGCACGACGCGAAGCAGGGATTGAAAGCCAGATTTGCGTAAGCGCTCATTTCTAGCTCGGGCCCAGCCAATCTGTTGGTAGCATCAGGGTGCTCCAAAGCCCCTTGATTCGTAGAAATTTATCAAGCCGTGTACATGGGTTGACGCATCGTTCTGACTGGTTGCATCTTTGTTTCTGTCATCACTGAAAGAGATTGAGAAGGAAACGTACTGTGAAGTGCACACTGTCGTTTTCCGTTGACGTGCCAAAGTGACGGTGCCCGATAAAATACGGCAGACTCCATTTTCATTGCCGCCAATAGTACGGCGAATGTTAAACTGCGATTATAGACACCAGATGTCACTGAATTTCGGGAAGGGTCTATTAGCAGGAAGTCGAGGCAAATAGTCGACTAGCGTTTATCAATATTTATCACGCATTATTTCCACGTCATCATGGCGTGTCGTTCTTGGCCACCGTTGAACAGCGAGTCGTAATTTATAAACAGTGTAGTGTCGGCTGAGCACAGACCCACAAAACAAAAAAGAAAAAAAAAAAAAAAGAAGGGCTGTTGGTGCGAACCCTTGCTAATTCCTTTCTAACATTATACATAAAAATATATATACATATAAAAAAAAAGCGACACAAGGACGTATTTCAAGCATTAGTGCAACATGTCCTGCAACCAATAGGTCACACTTCCCACAAGAAAGCAGGAAGAGCGAGCATCTGATCACCGTGGCACCTCTGCGTGCGTAGTAGTCATCGTATAGGTCAGCCGCGGATTTCTCAAGTCAGATGTTACGCTACCAAAAACACTTTACGTAACCTTCAGACAGCCGACCGGACGCGTGACCGGAGCTGGACACAACACGTTCGTGATCTCGTGTGTATATCTCCATAGGTGTGACGCAAAAAGGGGAGCTCCCGGTGTATCCCCCACCAAGCACGCGCTCATCCTAAAGCGAAACATCCTCGCAGCGCGGCGTTCAGACGCAGATCTCCATCCAAAAGTTGACATTTAATTTTTAAGAAAATCTACGCTAAGATGTCGGTTGCAATTAAACGTTTCTGAAAGTATTGGGGAGGAAATTCAACCATCGCGCCCTCAGCGGCAAAAGCCGAGATCTGAACCCATGAGGACAACAGTGTGAATTATTTGTTCATGTTTCTGAAGCAGCGCTCAGCTGACATAGGCGAACACTACGTCAGCCTTTGGCTGGTATGCGCTCGTGCTCAACCAGTGAAGCACCAACTGAGCACGAGTCCAGGCCGAATAAAAGCTAACGTAGCACTCGAATCCAATTTCTGCTCCGCGCTCGATCGAAAATGATGGCGTAA